CAAACTGGTCAAGCGTAAAAGTGCACGTTTCGCTTCATCGATCCTGCCCCTTCTCACCAACCACCACGGTGACTCCGGCGCCATGAGTATTGCTAAGGCTAGTGGGGCCGGCCACATCCATTGCAATGCGTACGGGATACGGTATGACCATTCGTCAGGTCTAGGCAGCATGGCCTTGAGAACACCAATCCCAATAAGTTGTCCAAGACCCCAGCAGAAATTGACGTAAGTCGTGAGATAACTCCGTAGAGCAACAGGACAGACTTCGGAAGCGTAGGTGATGCACAGAGTCTGGAAGACGCCCCAAGGAATCCCACAGAGCATCTCTGCTACTAGCAGAGCCTCCACATGAGCTGCAGTGAAGAAGATGGTGACGAACCCGGAAAGGAAGAAGAGGCAGGTCAAAATTGTGTACCGGTAACCGAAACGTTCTGAGGCCCAGCCGTTCATGAATAAGCCTATAATTTCGCCAACGACTGCACCGTTACTAAGAGCCGCTTGCCACTACATGGAAAGGAAATTGTTAGCTTTTCTATGTTTCCCCAAAAAGACTTGGGGGATCAAACCAAGAACAGGCCTACAATACGTACCCGAGCAGGAACTTGATATGTACCATCCTCCAACTGAACACCATACTTTCGGTTCCACTGCGGGAAAGCGTAGAAATTGTTCACCAAGCAAATATCATAGCCTTCCATAACAATACATGTTGAGATGAGAACACTCCATGCAACAGCTTTCGGGTAGAGCCTGAGACCCTGTAGTAGGGTCATACGATGCTCCTTGTCGGTTGCCGACTTTGCATTGTCAAAAATCTCACTCTCTGGCATAGTGGCGTTGGAGGCCTTGGGGGTGTCTATAGGGACGCTAGCGTGAGTTGCTAGCTCAACGACATCAGATTTCCCAACACTTGCCATTTATCATGAAATGGAAAAGAGGGATGTTCCAAGTCCGCCACACACCGAGCGCAGCAGAGGGTGGTGGGATGGAGGGTATTAATTCGGTCGCCGCGTCGCTGTGGGTGGCGCAGTAAAAGACAAGAGAAAGATACTTGAAAAGAAAACTACAGAGAAATGAGGACAGATTTGTTGAAAAATTATGGAGTAGAGTCTGGTACCACGTGAACCGGCAACAAGTGGAGATCGGCGTAGAACATTCCTGGCTGTGCTGGAAGATCGGAGGAATGGGACACTTCGATGAAACCCCAGCAACAAGATACCGCAATCTCCTTCTGATCACCCAGTTCGCAACTGTTCCGGCATATACTGGAACCTTCAACGGTTTGTACGTGTGGCTGGAAACGAGCAACTTTTGCCGATCAGCGATTGGAGAACAGATCACGTGGTGCTGCGATCGGTTCAAGGAGCTTCAAATTTGGAACCGTGAACTTTCCCAAGTTGCAGTGGAAGGAGGGCTGGAGCAGCCAGTCAGGGAGCGTTGTGATGAATAAGCTTGGCAACTCTGCTCCTCATTTTAGTGCTAATCATGCCCGATTCTGTAGAATTAAATTATTAAAGTCTCGTCTCCAAACAACCCACTATATCACGTAATCTCAGCATTTCTGTTGAAAAAAGTGACTCACCTGGAAGGCTTCCAGGAACGGACAAACTCACTTTGTTGATCATCCTCTTGGCTAAAATGGCGAGCAGCATCAAACACCTTTTGTAGGCAGCGACCACCTTAAAGATGCCAGGTTCGACCGTGAATGGCGTCCACAAATGTTGCTCTTGGATGAATAAAAATAAGCTGCAGTATGCTGGCGCAGTGTCTCCAATCTTCCCAGTAACCCAGTTCACCATATCAGAATATAGCCCTCTGCCTCGACGTTATCCACCGCCTCGTCAGATACGGGTCATGGTTCAGCCATTGCCCGGTGACAAACCCTGTTTAGAAAGTGAGCGATGAGAGGAGGGAGTGGGTGGGGAGGGTTGTGTGGAGGAGCGCAATGCCCTTGGATCTCTCTCCAGTTTATTGATGCATCAAACATGCAACATACCGAATTCTGTATCGATAAAATGTGCAGAATATGCGGTCTCCCGTCTCTCCGAGCTACGGGGAACCAGCCCAAATTCCCTTCTATGGTGGAGGCTCAAAACAAAAATATACGGGTATATTAACAATGTGAATGAGTTTATTTTGCATCAAGGTAAGAGAGACAACTCTGCATGAAGTTGAATATCTCCAGTAAAATTTGAAAGCAAGGTCGGGCGAAGAAAATCCGCATCCAGATCATCAGAATGATGAACCTCGCGCAGTTTTCATCGACGATGTATAAAATACGTCGTATGCCTCTCTAACAAATGTTAAATCTCACAACACGCGTCCGTCCGGTACCTTCAACAAAGTTTGTGGAGGCTGATTCTTGATTTCGTTCCCTTGTGGTTTCACCTCTTTTTTCTCTCTTCACGAGAAGCAAAATGGTTGGATGGTGTTCGCATTGCCATCAAACTTCCACCACTATGAAAGAGAGCAGGAAGCTTGCCCATCTTGCCGTCTATTGAATGCAATTATCCTAAACATCTGGGTGTTGGTAAAATATCTCCGTTCCCGATTCTAAACTGGGCTCGAACGGTGTTTGCTTCTGTGCAAGAAGTGAAGGATTAGCTCTCCGACGCAAAAGGGCAAAGCTGGTAAGTTAACCACCAGGGAAGACACCTGTGGGGTGGGTTAATAATTTGTGACACACAAGGGTGTTCCTCGTTGCGAGCTATGTAGAACAGTGAAACCCCCGGCAGTTTGCCCACCGATGAAAAGTTATATCTCGAACGATTCCATCAGCTTCATCAATAGTTCTCTGATTGCTTTCAGGATGTGGAAATGTCTGATGTGGCCCTTGAGGCGGCGCGCTAGGGGCTTGTGGTGCCGCAGAGGGAAAATTGTTAATCCGGACATCGACGTAAACAAACCTCAACATCGCTCTCAACTCCAAATCTTCCATCTCATCCATTTCATGCTGATATTTTAATTAACCTTGACAGCGGATTCTCGTGAGTGAGTTTCTACAGAGAAAAATCACTATTCACTGTTTGTGCACCAGACGAGGGCAGATCCCAATGAGGACTTTGGTGTTACGATCGTCACTCCCTGAGTATTTCTCCGTTGGAGTCCTATTAGAGGAGGGGATTATTTTGATCAGCTTCTCAACGCTCATCCGGGGTTAAAGCCTAAATGGATCCTTGGCTGATGACTATCAAGTTCAACTATTTCGTCAGTATTTGCTATTTGCGCATGGAAAACCTTTCCATTGCATACATCCTCAGCTATAGCTCCGACGAAAATTTTGAATCCCTCAACGGGCAGATATAAACTGTCTTTTCATCCTTTTAGATTGCCCTTACTACCTCCCTATGGGACCAGTCGCTGGATGCGAAGTTCCTAAGTGGCTACAGTAGCTTGCGGATAGTGTTCCGTTGCATGCCACCGCCACCTCGTGGTCATCCTGTGCTGAGTTCTACCTGAGGTTTGCGACAGGAACAACGCCCCTCACGGCTGCTCAAGGTCATCGGAACTTTGTTGCGAAGGCTTCCGCAGTCTCCCTGCGGATGTCACCAAAACCGTCAATTCTCTTGATTTCTTTAGAGCTGGACTCGTACTACCTGATCCATGTTCAATTATCCAAAGTCAGGAATTCCGAAAGGTCTCAAGTGAGGCGACAAGCTTTTTCTCATCGGTGGCCACTTGGCAACCAGATGTTGCAGCTTCACAGACTTTTGGATCCGAAATGATCTTGGTGGTATTATGGGCGTTACAAGATACTCAATTCTGGAGGGCGGAGTTATCTGTGTATCGTGATTCAAATGGGCATACTAACCAGGGTAACGGAAATAGGTGAACCTGGACCATAGACACGAACTTAGCTGGTTGTTACTCTTGTTATTTTTTATCTGAAGTGCAACCCCAATCAAGGATACGGAAAGCTGCCCGTTAATCTTCCCTGTTTGCGGACTTCCTTGGAACCTGTCAATTAATACCTCCAAACTCGTCAAGCCAATCAAGCTCAGACAAATTGTAGATTTCCTAGTGACGCCAATTCGCTATCTTACTACACCAATACACGGAACTGAAGGCTCAACATTCGGATGTTCTGCTGAGTTTTTACGAACCTCGGGAGCCTTTGACGTGGTTTGCTGGTTTCTTTGAACTTAAATACTATGACAGCAAACCCTTATAAAGGCCCGTGTTCCATTCGTCCGACTCGCCTTGTGAAATTGGAAATTTGGTTTGGGGCTGGTCAACACGTGCATCAAAGATAATCCTTCGAGCGATGACCTTATTCAAGTCATCAAAAAGTCCACTTTTCTGTTGCCTGGATTGCGAAATTGATAGATAAATGTGGTTTTTTTTTTCTTTTTTCGGTAAGCACTTGTCAGTCGTCTTAAGACGGCAGAGAAACAAACTACCATTTGACTACTGTGTTATTTCGCAGCCAGGTATTTCTCACGGCGTTAAGATTTTTACTGCTGTGCATACTTTTCTACCATTTCTGCTGAAGTTCTATTACTTCAATTATAGCTGTTTTTGCTAATTACTGTCTCCATTGATCACAAAAGGCAAAGACTACACAATGGATATGCAATTTCTATTCTCGCCATGCATGTCAACAACTGTGCATAGCATGGTGGCACACCCGCGAACGGATCCGGAGATTGGGCCTCTATTTCTTCTAATGATTACATTCAAACACATCATAATTAATTTACATTTACATACTAGTGTTTGTGCCTACCTACAATACACACATATCAAGTCAGCGCTGTAACATGCTACTGTCTTCCAGGGGGCATTCCCGGAGTATCCACAGAGCATGAATGAGTCAACGCACATCTTTTTGAAGCTCTAGTCGTCTGGTATAAAATCGGTCGCCTGCTGCTGGAGGGTAACTTCTCCATATCTCTCCGCACCACCACTTGGTATAGAATCCTTATCAACATCAAATCACAAGTATCAAGACTGGCTCTATTGCCCTAGAACTGTTCTCCACAACTCCCTTACTGCGCACCATGAATCTACAAGCTGCTTTGTGTATCCTTGCGGTCCTATGCGTCAACGGGTTACCCACTGGAACGCTCTCCTTCAGCCAAAACCCCAATTCCACATGTCTTGAAACGCATACGGCGGTGAAGGGAGACACATGCGATACTATAGCAAGTAGAAACGGCCTAACGGTCTCTGAGCTCCAGACAATTAATGTAGGATATTAATCCATCGCGAATATCCGCTCCCCCTTCTTGTCTTTTCTCATCTCAAGACCGAGAGGGCCTCAACCAGCTTCTATCAAAACAAATATATACATACAAATATAGGTAGTATTGCTAACAAAGCCTTTTATTCGCAAAATTTCCAGGCCCGCCTCGGCGATATCTGTGCCAGCATCAAACCTGGTCAGAATTACTGCGTGAGGGAGCTGCTCTGGGAGGGGGAGAAGCTATTTGCAAATGCAACCGGTTCTGTTCCCGAGATCGAGATAGCAGTCCAGGGACAGAGTGCGGTATCGGAGACTGTTCGAAAGAAGCAACTGAGCTCATGGCTATCTGTGCCAGGCAGTGGCTTGTAGGTCCGTGAGTATTTCCCCTTCCCTTTTCTGATCTCCATCTAAGCCCTGTCGTTCAAGAAATATTTCAAAAACGTGCCACCAGGTCCTTGACCATTCGGGAGTGTTTTTCCTTTCTCAAGATCTTCCTGGGGAGAGGACTAGTTTATCTGACCGTATATCATGACTGCGCAGCAACGATACTTGTGAGTCCATCGCGACTGTTGCAGGAATTTCCGTAGGAGAACTTGTTACGCTAAATGTGGGTGTTGACCCCCCTCCTTCTTAACCCCTCCCCGCGTCACTATCCCATAGTTATCGATATAGCTATTGATATATGTATACACACTTCTTGAACAAACTACCATACTAACCATGACTGTCAGCCCGTAACCCTCGCAAACTGCGGAAGCATCAGCCGGAATGCGTTGGTCTGTCTGGGATCCTCTTCCTCTCCATCCATGGGGGCCGCCAAATCTACAAACTCCGCGGCCCCGATTCCACTCGCAAACGGCAGAAGCTTCGTCAGAAACTTGGCCACGGTTTTCTTAACTCCACGAAAATCACCGTGAACGGAGGTATGATTACGTTCCTTTCCTCTCTCTCCTTCTCATCTTTCTCTTATACTCTTTTATACTCCTGCAGTTTTTCCAAATTTCCCTTCTCTTTTTGTCTCGTCTTTGGTTCAGTCTCTGTCTCTTACTGTCGGACTTCGGATAACTGAGTATATACATAGCGTGTTAAGTTGACATCGTCCATTTTCCCTGAAAACACGAGTCGAGAATGTGTTCTCTCTCTGTGGGACGAGATTAAACGAAAAATGAAAGATGGCGTGATGAGATACGGAGCCTGCACCGTAGAATGTAATTTGGGTCGGAGCAGCAGATCTATTCTTGACTGGCATCGACCCCAATCTAGCTCTTCGCTCTCCAACCCATCGGCCCAGATACAGTTGCTTCGACCAGTTTATCATTTATCTGTGATTTCTTTGTACGAACGAGGAAAAGAAAATTGGACCCAAACTCTAGGAATGGGTTCTTTCGTTTATTCAGCAGCCTGTCTTATTTCTGATCTTACAATAGTCTATTTCTCTTAGTAGCACATTTTGTGATCTCTTTGCCTTCGTGATTTGGATTCGATTTTTCCTGGAGATACTATCTCTAAGAAGAGGGGAGGGGAATTTCTGGGGGAGGAGGTCAAAGCATGTAGAAGTTATATTAAAGCTATTAGGGTTTTTGCCATCCTTTGTTGTCTTTTGGATTCAATCAAAACATTTGACCTCTTTTGCATCATTCCTTTGTCCTGTGCAGAATAGGCGTTACCTGCCCCAACAAGACCAAGACCGACATTACAATTCTCATTCAGTCTTCTAAGGACCATCCCGCTACCGATCACAGTTTGCCATAGCCGAGCTAAAAGAAGTAATGAAACACTTGCTATTCTGAAAAAGATAGTAAAGAACACGCTATCAATACAAACAGACTTTCACTGGCTACTAGTAACAGCGATTACACTGCAGAAGTCCATCAAAAGCTGCAAGATGCAGCTTCCATGCCACGTCATGTCAAGTTTCACCACCTTCCTGCTCCCTGGGCAGAGCGTGGCAGCACGGTTGTAGATAAATGGAGCCGTGCCCAAGGGTTCAATGTGTTCACAGATATCAAATGAGCTAGATCAAGCGCATAATGACAAACAGCAAAATATCAGTAAAAGAAGGTGGCATGCATTGCTGAAGGAATATCATTGTAAAGGGAGAAGGATAAGGTTGAGCGGGGAAGAAAATTAAAAGAGAAAAATAGGTATGGTATGGTAACACGGATCCGAGTAAATTTTATAAAGGAGAGAAAAGAATCATAAAAACAAGATTCAAATCCAGATTCTAATCCTAGCTAAACCCAACAAGGTCATGTCGGACCAAACCAAGCTAAAAGCGATATAGGACACACAAGGAGTAGAAGATTGTGAGAAGGAGGAAGTAACAATGCTAGATTTGGCCGGGAAGTGGACAGCGGGGAAGAAAGTAGACGAAGTTACAAAAAGAGGCATATCAACGAGAGACAATGGAGACAATGAGAAAGTGTAATATTTCAATTTCCAATCTAGCAGTTTAACCAGATTAAAATGTTGATGTGTTAAAGACGATTGGGAGGAAATGAAATGATTAAAATTGTGATAAGAAAACCATAGGGAACAAAAGTATTAAAGTATGAGAAAGATTCATCATTTGCTAGGGCATTAACACATAATAAAACATATGAAAACACAAAACAAACATACACACATAAATTCATGCATGCATGCATGACAAAAGAAACTGTAGATAGAGCATAGGGGGCATTTCTTCTAGAATTGATACACCATTGAACATGTGATAATAAACAAAAGCAGTATTGCGCTTCTTTTATGGCATCTTTCCTGCATTCTTTCGTAATTATGCATTACATTTGTTGGCATGAATGAAACTAGATATTAAGAAGAAGTAGACTCTGACTGTGGTTGATTTGTTGGTGCTATTTCTGGCAGTGTAGGCTGTTGGCAAGGTTCAGTTTGTGCAGGTGCTGCGACTTTGACGGGTTCTGTTGTGGACGGCGGGGATTGTGATATATCCTCCTCTACCCTCGGCAGAACAGTAACGCTGGCCTTTGGATCGCCCAGAACAGGGTTTGTGGGTGCCTCTTCTGGTATCGTCGGTTCAGGGAAAGAGCCAGGAAAAACCATGGAACCAACGGGAGGTGTTTGGGGAACTGGGGTGGAAGGAAGAGCAGCTGTAGTTGCTAGCTGCTGTGAATCTGTGTTCACTGTAGGGCGGTTTTCACGGGTTGCATCCATTGACCGTCCCCCGGCTTCTTTGCTAGGCAAAATTGACAGACTACTTCTCGAAGCCGCATCCTCGCCATCAGAGTGCGGAGGGCTTCTCGTCCGTTCCTTTGCCGCCTCCCGATCCTTCACTACTTCCTTCACACCTGCAACTTTGGCTTTAAATTTCCCGAAAAAGCCCTTTCTTTCAGACTCACTCAGATCTTTGATGCTATTGTTGGGATTTGATGTTGGCATGACGTTGCTCATATCAGAGTCTTGTGTCGGCAGCGTCATGAAGGACTGGTTGGCGATAGTATCTACGGTCCCAACTGCTGAGGTTTCGGTACTAATCTGGCGAGTTTCATTGGGTAAGCTCTGCTGGGGCGACCAATTTGAGCTCCCGACAGAGCTACTGCTGAAACCCGCATGTGCATTTGATCCGATAGGAGGAGGGGGAGACATGCTCAGCTCTGACCGTTCATGTCGCTTGGTGCCACGAGGATATCTCCAACTCCGTCTTTTCTGAACCTTTTTCCTTTCCCTACCAACGTCGTCTTGGTTATCAAAGTCAGAGTGGTCTGTTACAGATGATCGGGAGTGCATTGATGGGGTTCTCGACCTGTCAGGCTTCAGGGCGTTCTCTGGGGGCACGGAGACGGATGGTTTCACCTCAGAATTTAGCTGTGGAGAAGTTTCGGCCCCAGGAATTGAAGTCGGGTTCACGACTCTCGGAGTTGAAACTTGTGACTGATCCTCCGGACCCTCCCGTTTATCTGATACAGCTTGTGATACTAGTGTTCCCAATGCGAGCTCCTGTCCAAGATGTAATGAATGACTGGAACTCCTAGCACTCTCACTAGCGCTTCCAGGTATTGGACGTTTTTTCCTCAACCTGTTGGGCTGTCTACCGTCCTTGCGCTCGCCGTCTGGCGCTGTGGACCTAAAAAAAGCGGATAACTTCCTTTCCTTCGTTGATGTCCCAACTGCAGGTGAAGTCAAAGGTTGCAAGCCATACTCTTGAAGGTGAACCTGTTCATCCGGTGACACCTGGAGGGATTGCGCATTTGGCACGAATCCCAAACCTTGGTTTACGTTCGATGGCAACGAAGTATCGGGGGCAGTTTCGTGAAGTGCATTAGCGGCTTGAGGCGGAGTTCGGCTGGGAGATTGGGATAGACGACCAGAATGATTAGATGGTGAGTGATGGCCTGTTCCAGGGGCGGATGCGTCACGCGGGCGGGTAAAGTGGTTAGGAGAGAGCCCCGCCATTTTTTTCGAGGGCACAGTGTTGCTGCGATGTACGCCTAGGCTTGCTCCACCCAATGATTTCGGGGTCACAGGACTTGTGGCATTACCAGGAGAGTTCTTCGACTGTTTTGAAGAAACGGACATATTTCGTCGGAGCACATCATATTTTCGCAGACTATCCGCTCCCCCACTTGCATTCGAGGCGGACCGTCTGATATTGGATCGAGAAGTGCTGGGGGCATTTGCAGCCTGCATAGCCTTTACTGTTTGTGCATCGGCAGCAGTGCCCGTCATACCGAACAAGAAATTATCTTGATTTTCAATGAGGAATATCAGAACATCCTGGCTCAATTTATACTCCTTTGGCGACATGTCATGTGCAGGATGAGACAATAAACCAGGTTGAAAAATAGCCGCCAAGTTGGCTGCTGTCATACGGTTGACCTCGGATTTTGATGCAAAAACCGTCAAAAGGTCGAGAATGTAAAGCAAAAGTTGCCTATTAAGAGGAGGAAGCTTTTTAATTAGGTCTTGGTACGTGGCTACAGCCTTCGCATGATCAAAACCTTCTTCCTCTTCAGACGCAGCATCTCTGTCCCCTACAGCCTGTGCTTGGTAACGGCGAAGGGGATCTCGGAAAGACTCATAGAAGTCTAAGGGTACAATTGGTTCGGGAAGTTGGTTCAGGTATCGACGGAGTATGTTCGCAGCATCATGCACGGTATATCCTGTCCAGTCGAGTCCCTTACCAAAACGATCCGGGGAGTCAAAGGCTTCTTGCAGATCCTTTATTCGTTTAGCGGATCCACTTAGTCGGAAAATCCCTTCAACATCCGTCGCTACAGGAGCAAATCCATTAGATCAAACATACAAAACACGAGAATTGGGTAGGACAAACCTTTCTCCTTGAGAAACACACCACATTTTGCGACGACAATTGGAACGTATCCATATATGAAACTAGATTTGTCTTCCGCGGCGAGGGATATGGCAACGTTTGCATATTTTATGCTAACATTGAGTGGTACTCCGAAAATACCGTAATGCGGTGCTACACGTGTTAAACCCAGCTGTTAGTCACTAGATGCATTAATCGGAATATCAAGGGCGTTAAGTCAGGTACGCATATGATTTAGGCCTCGCAGCCTCTATTGGTGTATGCTGTGGCAAGCAAGGGATGGCTCATAGGTATCTTCGGGAAAATCGAGGATGGGACTGGAAGGAGGAGAGTAATTAATTTTTACCTGGGGCTACCTCATCCTTCTTAGTGTTTCGTACAAACTGCTTCCACCATGAAGTCAAATCCCGTTTCGATAATGGGGACACCGCACCCTGGGGTCCTCCCTGTTGATGATGCACAGTTGATCGTGTAACGTCACGAGGAGATTCCCTGGGCACTTGTTGAGAATTGCCGGTAACCATTATGGGTTGATGATAACCACACACAACTGTTTGCCTTGACGACAATACAGATAGGATTCAGGATGAGCACGTCGCGGTATTGTAGTCGTACGATGTCCCAGGACCGCCAAATGTCTTCGAGAGTACGTCTATATCAAAAGGGCGACAGATATATAGGGTCCCAAAAGAGCAACGGACAGTGGAGAAGTCAAGCGGATTGTGAAGATCAAGATAGGAAACCAGGTAACGAGGACGAGGAACGAGAACAAAGAGAAGAAACGAGAAGGTAGGGAGCGACTCTACAATAGGTCGAAGGGGGCCGGCAAACAAAACAAACGCATATGGGGGTGAAGAGTGACGGCTGGATGTGAATCCGAAAGGAATCGATGTAGTTGAAGACTTGAGCTTGGGATGCGAAGAGGAAGAGAGTGCGAAGGGGCACCGACAATAGAGAAACGTTTCGTCCAAGAGGTCCGGTCGCGGTTAGGCTGGCTGGGAGTTCGTTTTTTTTTTTTTTTTTTTTTTGGGGGGGGGGGGGGGGGAGGGGTTAAGGTTTGTTTGGCTTGGTTTTTTTAAGCGGGAAAAGATTTTTGGCGTCCCGGGACTTTTTTTATTTAGGGGGTAACCTTAGGGGTTGGGCCCCACCCCGTCCCTGTGAATATACCGCGGGGGAGGGCTCCCGGGGCCGGTACGGGTAAAAAAAATGCAGGCCGGGGGAAAAAATCCGGACAATGAAACCATAGGGCCCTGCCCCCCCTGAGGGC